GCGCCTCAAGAGGAAGCAGAGAGTTCAGTCTGAAGTCGGACGACCGGCTGGCCGGCTGATCAGTTGAACTCTCTGCTTTCGGGTGGGGAGGAACACGAACGAGGCTATGCCGAAGGGTGGAGTCTCTTTCGGGGAGGTAAACCGACCCTGAAGCCGTTTATACGCGTTCAAAAAGCATATTTCTGGCCGAGCCCACCGGCTCGGAGATCCGACATTAAACCGGCCTTGTGCCACATGATGCCCTCGTGGTGGGGTGACTAAATACACTTCAGTCTGAAGTCGGACGACCGACAGACCGGCTGATCGGTTGAACTCTCTGCCTTCGGGCGGGGAGGAACCCAAACGAGGCTACGCCGAAGGGCGGATTCTCTTTCGCGGAAGTAAACCGACCCTGAACCCATTTATACGGGTTCAACGGGCATATTTTTGGCCGAGCCCACCGGCTCGGTGATCCCACGGGCTCGGAGATCCCACGTTAAACCGGCCTTGTGCCACATGATACCCTCGTGGGGGGTGACTAAATACTGTTCAGTCTGAAGTCTGGAGTGAAGTCCGTCAGAAGTCAGTCAGAGCAAGCGAGTCAGTCAGTCGAGTCAGAGGCAGTCCGAAACAGAGTCGCGTTCAGATGATTACTACAAAACCTGATTGTTCGTACTAACACTTTCTACTTCTCTGTATATATTCCTGTTTGTAATATATCTGTGTTATTTTTCAATGTAAATTTCTGACAAAGTTTTGTGACGGTTATCTGAAAAGCAAATGGAATCAGAGCCTCCTAAATTCAATTTCGCAATACGCCCTTGGGAAAGGCATGAATCTATACTGTTTTCTTTAAGATATGTTTAAATAGCAGTTTATACAATACATTTCTAATGCTGGGTGGAAGCAAGTGTAGGAGAAGGATAAATTTCGAAAGCAACGGAAAATCAGTTCACTATCTTTCACCAGAAATTATGGCAATTCACACATATTAAATATAAAATGACATTGTGAAAAACACTGATCGCTTACAGCATGAATTTAGCTGACATTTAACCAAGAGTTTTATCCCTTGTTTCCTGTTCAGATTAGGTTTTTGCTTCCTTCTAAATTTATAACTTCTCCGACGAAGCTCTGAATTCTATTTACTATTTATTTAATGTTTACACTTAATGGGATTAAATAGGTTGCCTATCGCCCGGTTCACACTCTCTACACTGTTTATTGAACAGAAGTAGAAGCTTATGCATTGTTTCCTGATTAGGATTGGGTTTCCTCTTCCGTCTACTTCCACAAAACACTTCTAACGTCTCCGCTTAAATTCGGAAAGTTTATTCACTAATTAAATCACGATCTCTTCAAGTCCACAGTTCGCTTTATCATTTCTGCATGGCTCCAAAAATTGCCTTTCTTGGACATTCTAATACAACACCAAAGAGTAACCCTGAACGAACGGCTACATTGAATCTAAAGTTTTAATTAATTTTAAAATAACCTTTTTAATAATTCTGATTGATGACTGACGTGAAACGTAATGGAGAATAAAAAGTATTTTTGATTTTAAAGATTTTAAACAAAACTCATTTTTGGATCATACAGGTCGCTCTACGAGAGCTGCTGGTAAAATTAACACAGTAAAACCTGCTTTATATATTTCCAGCACCCATCGCATATATTTTAAATACTAAGATATATGAGGAGATGCTGAAAATCTTAATACAATCTAAACAAATGAGAAAATATAAGAATTCCTCTTTGAAGATTTCTTGTTCATGCTAAGAGATTTTCAGAAACACCATCTTATTTCCGCACATGTTATAAAGACAAACACAATACAAAGAACGTTCAGTGTTTGCTACTAAAAAAAATAAGTTCCTACCATTAAAATATATATAGTTGGTGTCATCGGTGATAAAGCTGTTCTGCCAGCATTTATCTAGACACTCTAGATAGGATTATGAGCAAGCCCTTTTAAAAAGTGGATTAACCTTCCTGTATAGTTTACATCTATCTAGCACGATGGGGTAAATTTAGCTCCATAGCTGTGCATCCTGTCAGTGCTGTGATAACACGAAATTGCTGGATGATGGAGGTTACGCCTAGTCTGGTGCAAACGGCTAGAGAGGAACATTCTCCCGGTGCCCACAGGTTTCTGTTCGACAAGTGAGCCGTTAATTTGAGGGACAGCGGTTGTTGTTTAACCTACAGAAGAATGGGCTCCAGTAGAACTACTTGCCCAAGCCAGACTAAACATGGATGAATTCCTCTTTGGCTTTCAACCCAGATGTGTTGAGGAAAGTGAACAGGTGTTCCGCAGTTGAGCGATCTTACCACCAAAAACGGTCATGGGATTGATTACGTAGGTGGTGATAACGATAATGAATTTTGTTTATTCGTCAAAGGACAGTCAATAAAACGACTTCATTATAGATATTATCATTGTTGTTACATGGGGAAGATTACTGAATAGAATAACCAAACGTAGGTTGGTAATAAACGATAATACTTAGGACAAGAACAACATATATAAGATTCGCCAGCAGCGCGTAGAATTAGTCAACCGCTAGAAGTGAGTCAAGTGACTTCCACAACGAATCTCCAACTGCAGGATAACAACCAACCGCCTCACGTGGTCAGACCTGGCACAAGGCCGAATTTCATGTGGAGTATCCGAGCCCGTAGGCTCGGCCAAAAATTGCACGTAGACCCCGTATAAAACGGGGGGGTCCGGTTTCTGTTTCTCGAGGCGAGACTCTGCCCTTCGACATAGCCTCGTCTGGGGATTCTCTCTGCCTTGTGTCAGAGAGTTTGACTAGCATAGCTGGAGGCGATTCTCCAACTGCATGAAATCTACCAACCATCCACAAGGCCGAATATAATTTGGGGTATCCGAGCCCGTAGCCTCGGCCAAAAATTTCTCGTAGACGCCGTATAAAACGGGGACGGGTAGCTGTTTCCCAAGATGAAACTCTGCCCTTTGACAGAGCCTCGCCTGGGGACCCTCTATGCCCGGAGGTACAGTGTTTGACCAGCACATCTGGTGACGAATCTCCAACTGCAGACCAACATACAGTATTTACTAATGTATTTATGTGAATGGGGACATACCCATTATCGTCCGTAGGTATACTACAACAATTATATACCCTATTTTACGGCATATAAAAATTGCTCAAAAGCCAACCTATGTCGTATATGCGATGTTGAAATCTCTCGAAGACTAAATATCCCCACAACGCTGACTACCTTAAGTTATAATTTTCAAATACTAGTTCATTTCTACCTAGATTTAATTCATAAAATATTAATTCTTCTATATTATTATCATTATCATTATTATTATTGTTGTTGTTGATGGTGTTTTTGTTACTCATTTTTTCCGGGTCCCAAACAGAGACCTAAGGTTAGAAATGACATCATGTTATTTTCCACTGATCATATTTGCAAAATAAAACAACTTAAGGGCACATAAATTTTACACTTATGAAGCTGGAGAAAAGAGTTGTTCTCCTTGGTTAGTATCAAAGTGTACTTTATTTTCATTTTAACTTCTGCTTATTAGTTCCCGTGTTGTTCTTAACGTACCAATAGAAAATCTTTCATTTTTTTTTCTAAATAAAATTATGTTATTAAATAATTCTCCTCATAAAGTCTCCAAACAATAACCAAGAATCGTAAAGCGAGCGACGTAGAAGCCATGTTTAAAAGAGGAATTTCATTATGCCAGGGAATTTTGCAATATTTAATTAAAATTCGCTTTTGAAAGTTATGAAGGTTAATCTTCATACAGTTCACTGGATATCAGTGGAAAGTGGGCGATGGTTAACGCCCAAGAAATAATACAAGCGCTACTGACAGAGGGGGGCGATATTAAGTTTATAAAATGCTCTTTTGGATAGTCTAGTTAATAACGGCTATTTACTTCCATGGTATACATGAGAAGATTCAACACAGGAAATTGTCCAATGTAATTTTAATAACAGGCGAAAAAGAAATAACGTGAACGGAAGATTGAAAAAATGTGAAAAAAAGACTGAAAAAAAAATAAGAGAAAGATAGTTAAATAGAAAAAAAAGATAGATAGAAAAAATAACATAAAAAAGAAAGGAAACATAAATAAAAAAGAAAGAAAGAAATAAAATGAAGAAAGAAAGAAAGAAAGAAAGAAAGGTCGAATTGTTTAAAGAAAGAGTTGTTTTGCGAGTGAGTGAGCAACTAAGTGAGTGAAAGAAAGAAAGAAAGAAAGAAAGAAAGAAAGAAAGAAAGAAAGAAAGAAAGAAAGAAATCAAAAAGAAAAAGAAATCAGAAAGAAAAAGAATAAAGACAGAAAAGAAGATATAGAAATCCAAGTCGGATCCAAGTAGAGAAAAAAAGAAAAGGAAAAAACATATGATGAAAAGAAGTAGAAAATGAGAAACAAGAAAGTAGAAAATAAAAAGAAAGAAAAATTAAATTAAAATACGTGATAGTTTAAAAAATAAAAAGAAAGAAAAGAAATATAGATAAAATGAAAAAAAAAACATAGAAATATAGAAAAAAAAAAGAAGGAATAAAGAAAGAGAACAAAAGAAATAGAAAAAAGAAGGATAAAAGTATTGAAAAAAAAAGAAAAGAAAAACTGTTCTCTTTTTAGCTGAATAACTCAAAGCGTTTTACAATGATTCTTACGACAAATGGTGACAAAATGGTTAAACGTCTCATCTGCAACCCTGGAAAAAAGAAACCCAATTAGTTTAGTGCATTTTTTAAATATTGTAAACATTTTGTGGTATGAACACTTAAACTGTTACACGATTTGGACAATTTTACCGTTACACACGGTATATATTGAAATATCATTTTTGCAGATAATAAATATTTCGAGATGATAGTCTTGCCCTACTAAAATATATTTGGAGTGAAGGTGAAGTGGATTCATAACTTTCTCAAGGGTATTTGCGCTTAAGTGGATAATACACGCGAATAGATATGGAACTTAATTCTCCGATTTCCAATTCCAACATTCTAGCTGCCCACCAATACTACAACACCAGGTATTCCCAAGCGGACACTCATCTAGGTACTAACTAGGCTCGACGTTGCTTAACTTTCTGTGATCGGATGAGAACCGGTGCTTTCAAAGTGATGTAGTTGCAAGCCTATCTCAAGTGAAAAACCAAGATAAAAAGTAAGACAATATAATAGGAGAAAAGAAAAAGAAATAAAACAAGAGAAAAGAAAAATAGTGCCAATAATGGAAATATAAGAAAGAAAGAAAGAAAGAAAGAAAGAAAGAAAGAAAGAAAGAAAGAAAAGAAAGGGAACAAAGAGTAAAATTAAAGACAGAAAAGAGAAGAAAGTAAAAATTAAAAAAGAGAAAAAAAAAGGAATAAAGAAGAGAACAAGAAAGGACCAAAGATAGAAAGAAAAATTTAAGAGAAGGAAAGAAAAAAAAGAAAAACGTAATTAAATACAGAAAAGAAAGACGAAATTTAAAAAGATATAAAGACATATTAAAGAAAAAGAAAGCAAAAGGAAATAAAAAAAAATAAACAAATATTAAAAAAAGAAAGAAAAAAGAAAATAAAAAAAAGGAAATACGAAAGAAAAAGTATTACTTAACTATTCGAAATGAAAATGTTTCCCAGGATATGGTATATATCAAATAATATTTTTATTATTTAAAAAATAACGAAATGTCGATGAAATTGTAACGAGTAATAATCACAGCTAAAAGGTGAGTTTTTATTAAATATTAAACAATTTGTTTGCCCCTTTTTAATGTGAAATCAGATCAAACGCTTCGTTGATCTCCGCCTATCGCAGTAAATTGCATGCTCACAGAGATTTACTGCGGATCACTGGCAAAAAAATAAATAAAATAAAATAAAAAATGATAAAGCCAACAAAACTAACTCTTATGAAGGCTACGCAAAACAATCGACATGCATTGGAAATAATTCTATTCTATCTCGCCTATTAAGCTGCTTTTTAAATTCCCTCCTGGACACATCGTTTGGCGTGATTAGGGCAACCATTTTTTCCCTTTCTTTTTTTTCTTTTTATTATCTGCAAAAAGCAATGAAAATAACTGTCCCTCCACCAACAATTTCACTAGTTTGACTTATTCATCGATTTATTTATTACTTATTTATTTGATTTCGGAAGGCTGTAATGTCGGGAAATGATTCATAACAAATGTAGTAATTCAAGTATATCACTCAGCTTTTATTCACGTTATTTAGTCTGTATATTTGCCCTTTTATTGAGTTATTGTTATTTTTGATGTTGGTCCCACGCTAATTCTCTATTTTGATGTGATGTGTTCGACATTTAATGCAAGGCAAACTGGAAAGAGTTTTATTTAATTTACGGGTTGTTTTTGCTTTGTATTTCAGAATCTGCTTTCATTTTCTACAAAATCATTGGAGATGGATAGATAAATAGATAGATAGATAGATAGATAGATATCGAAGAAAATTAGATAGATAGATAGATAGATAGATAGATAGATAGATAGATATCGGAGAAAATTACATAGATAGATAGATAGATAGATGTCGGAGAAAATGAGAGATACATAGATATCGAAGAAAATATGATATATAATATAGAGAGTTATAAAGATATGAAAAAATGAAATTGATAGAGAGATAGTTATGTAAGATAGATAAATAGATATCGAAAAAAATGATATTGATATCGAAAAAAATGAGACAGAGATATTGAACAATATAAGATAGATGTCGAAGAAAAGAGTCCTAAAAATATATGAAAAAATGAGATAGATAGATATAGCGAGATAGATATCGAAGAAAATTAGACAGATAGATAGATATCGAATAAGATTAGATAGATAGATAGATAGATAGATATCGAAGAAAACTAGATAGATATCGAAAATCAGATAGCTAGCTAGATAGATAGATAGATAGATAAATAGATAGATATCGAAGGAAATGAGATAGATATCGAAAATTGTGATATATATATATATATATATATATATATATATATATATATATAGAGAGAGAGAGAGAGAGAGAGAGAGAGAGAAATATATGAAAAAATGAGATAGATTGATAGAGAGATAGATATGGAATAAAATCAGATAGATAGATAAATCGATAGGCATAACGAAAGATAGAAGGCCAAAACCAGCACATATATTGATTGAATAAAATTTGCCGTCTGACTTTCTGAGATGCGAATTATGTTCTCACCTATGTTCTTGTTGTTACTATTACATTTCGACCATTGTGCTCTGCGGCCATCAGCTCGTATATATCGAAGCGAGTAACCTACAAGGAATTACAAACTGAACTTTCTATATAATCTACGGAAGTAGATTGTTCTCGTTCACTGCCCATGGATATTTCATCTACTGCTTATTTTGATACTCCTCGTCATTTTTCTACTGGCAAGAAACACTGCCCGTCTGCAGGGATTCGACACGCCATTACTATGTCACAAAATCCACAAAGCAACGCTATAATCTACAGGCTAATGGGATATGGGAATAAAGTCACTATACAGTTACTTATAATAAAAAAAGGCAAAGCATTGAAGCAGGTGGCATGCAGTTCGAAAAGTATCGATAATTAATTTACTATTGTTTATCATAGCATTTTATTGTTATTAAGCAGAACCATTTTATAATAAATTTCAGGACTGTTGATTAATTGCTTTGTCTTAATTGTAATTTTAAGTAACTCTATACTGACTTTATCCCTACTCTACACACACACACACACACACACATATATATATATATATATATATATATATATATATATATATATAGGATTGGTGTAGACCGAATAAATTCCAATAACGAAAAATACTATTCTTAAAAGAGTGCTCAGTACAGAGTAGAGCAAATATTATTTATTCAAAAATGATAGCATAAACATGTTATAACATCACTACAAAAATAGTCATTTGGTTTCAACACATCTGGTGTCTTATCAAGTGATGGTGTTGAATGTCATTCAATTCCATCACTTGATGAACGGCTATTTTTGTAGTTATGTTATAATATGTTTATGTTATAATTTTTAATAAATTATATATATATATATATATATATATATATATATATATATATATATATATATATATATATATATATATTAAATGGATTAATAATAATAATAAAAAAACGAAAGAATATTAATCTACAACCCAGTGTGTCTAATGATTTTAATTTTTTAATTTTTAATTTTCTTATTGTTCAAAATATAATCATGAATAATGGACACGGGACTGAACCAAATGCCGAGGACATAACACCAACAGAACCAATAAACACAGAATTATTGGCTATCCGCATGAATAGAGCAACCAACAAATTAGCCAGGTATGAATCACACCGGGAATATATTGGGATATGCCTGAAGGATCGATTAGTACCAACTAATTTCAGGATTGATTTAGAACCTTCTATAGGTAACCACAATGATGCGTTTCTAGCATCATGGTACCGTAAATTAGAAGACTTCTCCAGGGAGCTCATGCAGGATACCATGCAGTTCTGCCACGAAAACATAACAGCAACAAAAGCAGAAATTAACCTGCTCGATGAGAAAATAAAAAAACAAACGGACACGGAAGAATATACCAACATCAAGAATGTCATAAAAGCTCACAGAGACCAAACAGTGAGGGAACTACAAAAAACAAAAACTGAAAAACAAAGGAAATTAAGATGGAATATTTCCTCCAGACAGAGGAACAAAAAAGAAATGAAGCCAAACTCTGAAAAAAGTGAACGACCATATCCAAAAAGAAAACAACAAAACACCGCCACCACACAACCAATGCAAACACAAAACAGACCAAATAAGTACACCTACAGACAAACAGCAGCACCACAACCAACAATAACAACACCGCCACCATCAACAATAGCTAGAACCTCAATACAAACACACACAAAACAAACCACTAACTTACGCGGACATCCTTAGGGTGCCGTACAAACATACACAAACCAAAACACAGCAGCCCTTCTACAGAACGCATAACTCCATTAGACATCCCAGACCACCTAGATTAGCCCCTAGTAGACAGTCAACAACAGACACACCCAACCTTAGAAAAAAATATATAAGCCCCAAACCAGGACACCTGGGTGGGGGTATAGCATCCCTAATAGGAGATATGATGCAAGCTTTCGAGCTTTTTACAAAAGAACTTCGCCATGCTTGCAAATTCAAACTTGACCCATACGGGCGAGTTATAAATTTGAGTAACAATAAATTTTCACTCAATACATTCAGGGTATTAAATAAAGGACTAAGCTTTTGTCCTAGTCCCCCAAGGTTTGATAAAGACACCTTGGCTAAGGACCTGAAATCCTTCTTTAGAAGAATACGGTTAAAAGCCCACTATGGGGAAAATGATCATACACCTTCTATACTTGAGACATTAAAAGAGAAGGATACTACCTACACCCCACAAAACACAGACATCACTATACAGACATTCGAACTAGCCGTAACAAATGACATAAAGAAAACAATAGCACGTAAGCTGCCGCGTGACAATATGACTGAAGGAGAACGTATAGCCCTCGATACACTGACACATAGGGATGACGTAATCATAACACAGGCTGACAAAGGGGGTGCGACAGTGATCTGGGGAATCGAAGAATACGTTAAAGAGGCCAACAAACAGCTAGCCGACAAAGAAACCTACAAAAGCATACCTACAGATCCCCTTCCAGAATACCAAAAAGAATTAACTAGCTCACTAAACTTAATGCTTCGCAACAATCTAATCGACAAGGAAACATGCACAACACTTACACCCACAAACATTACACCTGCCCGCTTTTATCTCCTTCCTAAAATACACAAAAGCAACAATCCAGGAAGGCCGGTTATTTCATCGTTCAACTGCCACACGACAAAAATTTCCAAATACATAGACCATTACATACAACCGCTAGCTAAGGAAGTAAAATCCTACATCAGAGACACAAACAGATCTACTGAACAAAATTAATCACATACAAACAATACCAGAGAAAGCTATTCTAGTGACTATGGACGTTAGGTCACTATATTCAAACATTAAAAAACATCGAAGGGCTGGCCGCCCTTCAGGAAGCACTTACTAAAAGAAGAAAACAGGACCCCCCACAGAAGTCATCATAAAACTCATGGAGCATGTCCTTACATTGAATACTTTCAACTTCAATGGAGCACACTACCTTCAAATAAGAGGTTGTGCCATGGGCACCATTGCAGCTCCATCATATGCTACAATATTCATGGGAAAATTTGAGGAGACCCATATCTATCCAATCATTGGTAGCGACTGCGTATTCTATGCAAGATATATCGATGATATATTCTTTGTATACAGTGATGACAAACTTACCCAATTCCTTATGACCCTAAACACAGTGCACGACTCAATTAAGTTTGAATATGAAAAATCCACAACATCAGTAACATTTTAGACACCCGCATTTACATAGATGAAAAACAGGAAACTACAAACGACACTACACACTAAAATCACCGACACCCACAACTATCTACACTTTAAGTCTTACCACCCTAAACACCTCAAAGGGAACCTTCCCTATTCACAAGCGCTTAGACTCAGAAGGATATGTTCCAACAATGAAGAATTAAATAAACACATTGAAAATCTGGAGCATCAATTCACAACACGTGGCTATAAACAACACCTAATCAGGGAACAAATAAATAAAGCAATTTCCACACCTAGAGAAGACACCGTAATATACAAGATTAAAAATAAATCTAGCCGCATTCCTCTAGTAACCACTTTCAATCCCACTCTTCCTCCACTATCCCAAATAATCAAACGTCGCTGGGAAATACTACATCTCAAACCAGACCTAAAAAACTGCTTAAGGAACCCGGCCTTCTGGCATATCGTAGACCTAAGAACCTAAAAAGAAATCATAGGTAGTAACCACATTTCAGGGGACAAGGTAATCCGTAAGAAACTGAGAACAAAAACAACAGGATTTTCCCAACCATGTAACAACAAAAGAAGTTTATGTTGCAAAACATATTAAAAACACGAATTCATTCACTAGCTCAATCACTAAATCTACTTTCAAAATCTACCACGATTCTAACTGTAGAAGTCAAAACATAATTTACCTCCTAGAATGCACACTATGCCAGAAACAATATGTAGGAAAATCTGAATGGCCCTTTAACTACAGAATTAATAATTATCGTAAGCGAATTAAATCGACTCCCTATGAACAGTTATTACCTGTAGAACAACATTTCCGCCTAGAAAAACACGATTTCAAAAGCCATGCCAGATTCACTATAATTGAGAGAATAGAAAAGTTCAGAGCAGATAACATTAGAAAGATTTTAGAGTCCCATGAAAATAAGTGGATACAACGTCTAAAAACACAATATCCAGCCGGGCTAAATCACAAATTTAACAACATATAATGGTAACAATCAACAAATCAAAACCTACCCACATTTCTCACCCACACAAGAGAGACATGCTTAAGGAGGAATGGAGGCCTCACACTTATACACTCACCCACACGATTATACACACGTACACACACCATACTCACTCACTCCCTAATGAGCCAAATGATAACACACACCTACAGCAATACACACGCTTACACATATCATACTCACTTACTCCCTAAGAACCAAATAACACACACAAAACACTAAACAGAGACACATCCCTCTCAGGACCAATAAAACTGTCAAACTGACCAGAGAATTCAGGATAAAATGTATCTTATCCAGTTCTTATCTCAAATAACAACTTAAAAGAGACTGTTTGACCAACACAAGGAATGTTAAAAGATTCATGTGAAAAAGATAAAAAATAAAAAACAAATGAAAACTACAGACAAAAGTTCATTTTCTCCAACAAAAGACATTCATTTCTGTAGTTCCTTGCTAACAGCAAGCAGAAATATTTCATTCTCCCGATGATGGCCATTTCGGTCGAAACTAGTCGAGGAATTTAAATGGAATAATAATAATAATAAAAAAACGAAAGAATATTAATCTACAACCCAGTGTGTCTAATGATTTTAATTTTTTAATTTTTTAATTTTTAATTTTCTTATTGTTCAAAATATATATATATATATAT